GGTATATCTCACCATCTGCTCATTCCTAAATCTGAGCCTTTACTGTCTCAGGAACACGTAATCAGTTGTGGTGCTTCTGCAAAGCTTTTTTTGCTGACTAGAATCTCTCAAATACGTTCTGATTTAGATGCTGGTTGTAACAGCTCAGATACGTATAGTGCATCGTTTTGGTCTGTTGCAGAGGTGTCGAACTCATTTGTTACGAGGGCCGGATCTGACATAAATGTCACTTTGTCGGGCCAGCTCATGTGTGCCATAAAATGTAATGCCAAGTACCGGAGAAATAAACTGCATAAAGGACAGCGGCTGGTAAGCTCCGAGTTGGTGTATCCTCACTGCAAGGCCTCATAGGCTCGGAGAGGGGTGCAAAGGAAAACCCACATGGGCGGACTGGAGAGCTAGTGGTGCAGCACTGGGCAGATGCTCCCACGCTGCTTGACTGCTGCAGATGAGGTTGTTCCCCCCCGCTGAAGCCACAATCGGAGTGGCTCCGCCCACCCCCCCCCCCCGAGCAGTCTCCTGTTCCCTCCCTTACACTAGTCACTCGCAGGCTGTATAAGATTCCTGGACGGGCCGACTCCGGCCCCCGGGCCTTGTGTTTGACACTGCGAGAGGGAGAATGTAGTGGAAGGAGGAGGGTTTTGGTAGCTGCCTGTGTTGATGTTTAGCTCGGCCGTAATTATTCACAATGGAAACCGATGCCGTGTGTTCTGGTTGGTAGATCCTTGAAGTCCACTGCTCTGTTAGTTGGCAGTAGAAAAGGCTACCCTACTGGCTGGGCTCCTGGGAGCATCTTCGCTGACTTGCGACAGGCACCTCTGCATGAACACAATCAAAGCAAACAGCTCTCTCTTACCTTTCAGGAATATATCGGTGAGGTGATGTGTGTTAAAGTGCTGTCAGGTCGCTTCTGACTTACGGTGATCTATGAATCAATGACATCCAAAATGTCGTATCGTGAACGGCCTTGCACAGGTCTTGCAACCTGTGGGCTGCGGCTTCTTTGATTGCATCCATCCGTTGGGTCCAGTGCTCCCTCTAAGCTGTGGAGTCCTGTGAGCAAAAATCCTACTTTGTGAGCTACTGGCATTAAAGTTGTGAGCGAGCGATTTGGCTGCTGCCTAAATTAGTTTGCTCTGGAGCCGTCCTTCCCGAGCTGAGACAAAAATGTGCGAGCCGGAGGCTTAAAAAACTGTGAGCTGGCTCACACTAACACAGCTTAGAGGGAACACTACTCTGGAGCCCTCCTTCCTGAGCTAATGCAAAAATGTGTGAGCTGGAGGCTAAAAAACTGAGAACTGGCTCACACTAACTCAGCTTAGAGGGAACACCGGTTGGGTCTTCCTCTCTTCTTACTGCCTTCAACTTTTCCTAGCATTTTTGTGTGTGAGTATTTGTATGTGTGTGTGTGCTTGCGAGCCTGGAAGTCATGGTGACGTCTGGCGATCCCTAGTAAGGCTAGGATGTTTTCAGAGGGGTGGCTTCGGTATTACCTGCCTCTGCGTCCCGGCCCTGGTGTTCCTTGGAGGTCGTCCTTCCGAGTACTTGCCAGGGTCGGCCCTGCTTAGCTCCTGGGGTCTGATGGGCTTGGGCTTGCCTGGGCTAGGCAGGTCAGGGCAACTTTTCCTAGCATCGTTGTCTTTTCCAGTGACTCTTGTCTTCTCGTCACGTGCGCAAAGTCCGAAAGCCTCAGTCGAGTCATTTTCGCTTCTTGGGAGTTTTCAGACTTGATTTGATCAGGAACCCACTTATTTTCTTTTTTTGGCAGTCTGCGGTATCCATAAAACTTCTCCAGCACCACATTTCAAAGGGATCCGCTTTCTTCCCGCCAGCTATCTTCACTGTCCGACTTTCACTCCCATACAGTGTGATGGGGAGTACCAGGGGTCATTTCCTGCGGGAGCGCACAGGAGCGGCGCTCCGGCAGTAAGGAGCCCAGGGGGTGGGCACATGCAACAAGCCTTGCCCCCTTGCTCCCAGCAGCCCTCAGTTGGGCCACAAGGAGCAAGAAGCAGCCAGGTAAGTTGCAGAGCCCCCCTCCCCAGCCCGCCTTCAGGTACGAGCTCTCCCTCCTCTGTGAGGGCAGATCTGTGCATTCCCCCCCCCCCCTCGCGGCCAATACAAAACAGTCCAGTGGCACCTTTTAAAACCAAATTTTATTCAGGCACAAGCTCTCCCTCCTCTGTGAGGGCAGATCTGCACATCCCATTCCCCCCCAATAGCTAGCAATCCAAAACAGTCCAGTGGAGCCTGAGCGGCGGGTGTTGCCTTCTGACACACTTCCGGTGATGTCAGGGGGGTGGCATATGCAAATGAGTTATGCTAATGAGTTATGCTAATGAGCTCCTGCACCTCTTTTTCCACTAAATGACCCCTGGGGAGTACCATGGCACGGACCTTCAGTCCCTCAAAGTCAGTTTTGTCCACTCAGGCTGGCAGCAGCTCTCCACAGTTCCAGACGGAGGTCTTTCACATCACCTACAACCAGTGTTCCCTCTAAGCTGAGTTAGTGTGAGCCAGATCACAGTTCTTTAGCCTCCGGCTCACACATTTTCATCTTAGCTCAGGAAGGAGAGCTCCAGAGCAGACTAAGTGACGCAGGGCCAAATCCCTCGCTCACAGTTTTAATGCCAGTAGGTCACGGAGTAGAATTTTTGCTCACAAGACTCCACAGCTTAGAGGGAGCATTGCGGCTACAACCTGATCCTTACTGGGGATGCCGGGAATTGAACCTGGAACCTTCTGCATACCAAGCAGAGGCTCTTCCACTGAGCCATGGCCCCTCCCCTAAATTAAATAATATGCAACCGCTCTGAACGTTAAACGTGTCCTGGGAGGATGTGAGCATCCTCAGGTCCTTGATGGGAGGGTCTTTTTTAATTTACGAAATAATATTTTCCTCCATATTCTGAGAGTCTTCGGTGAATTTTTTTTTAAAAAATAACGCTTTTCCTTCATTTATACTCCACCTTTCTCCCCCATTGTAAACCCAAACCAGCTTACACAGCCCTCCTCTCCCACATTTTATTCTCACAACACCCCTGTGATGTAGGTTTGGGTGAGAGCGCGTGATTGCCCCAAGGTCACCCAGCAAGCCCCCATGGGGTTCAAACCCGGGTCCCCAAGGCCTAGTCTGACGCTCTAAATACTGTACCATGCTAGCTTACGCTGTGTGTGTGGCAGATGACCCTTTTACACTGATTTGATCATGTTTGCTATTAAAAGGGGTGATAGAAAGATATGTCAGGCGGATGTGATAACATTCGCCAGTGTTGGGAGAGGGAAGTCGGCGTGGCAGGATATTGCCAGAGGAAGTAAGAGCTAGGGTTGCCAAAAAAACGGCCTGGAGCGGGGGGCTCCCGGCTGGTGTGTGCGTGCGCGTCACCCGGAAGTGACGTCGCACGCTGGGGGCGGGGCCACGGCCCCAGCGTGCGACGTCATTTCCGGGTGACGCGCACACGGGGGTGGGGTTTCCCCCGGGCCCGATTTTCGTCGCGTCGAAAATTGGGCCGTCAAAGTGGGGGCAGGTCCTTGATGGGAGGGTCTTTTTTAATTTACGAAATAATATTTTCCTCCATATTCTGAGAGTCTTCGGTGAATTTTTTTTTAAAAAATAACGCTTTTCCTTCATTTATACTCCACCTTTCTCCCCCATTGTAAACCCAAACCAGCTTACACAGCCCTCCTCTCCCACATTTTATTCTCACAACACCCCTGTGATGTAGGTTTGGGTGAGAGCGCGTGATTGCCCCAAGGTCACCCAGCAAGCCCCCATGGGGTTCAAACCCGGGTCCCCAAGGCCTAGTCTGACGCTCTAAATACTGTACCATGCTAGCTTACGCTGTGTGTGTGGCAGATGACCCTTTTACACTGATTTGATCATGTTTGCTATTAAAAGGGGTGATAGAAAGATATGTCAGGCGGATGTGATAACATTCGCCAGTGTTGGGAGAGGGAAGTCGGCGTGGCAGGATATTGCCAGAGGAAGTAAGAGCTAGGGTTGCCAAAAAAACGGCCTGGAGCGGGGGGCTCCCGGCTGGTGTGTGCGTGCGCGTCACCCGGAAGTGACGTCGCACGCTGGGGGCGGGGCCACGGCCCCAGCGTGCGACGTCATTTCCGGGTGACGCGCACACGGGGGTGGGGTTTCCCCCGGGCCCGATTTTCGTCGCGTCGAAAATTGGGCCGTCAAAGTGGGGGATTCCCCACCCCCCGGCACCATTTGGGAACCCTAGTAAGAGCTCACTTGGGCTTGAACTAAAACCTCGCCTTCTCTACTGAAAGACTGATAACTCCAGTTAGTAAAATGCAAGTCTCTTTTCTGAACTTGATTGTGCAATGTCTTGGGCGAGTGAACCACCCGCTCCAACTCTGTACGCTGGATTCTCATGTGAATAAAAATAGCACATGGAATCACTGTGAATATTGATGTCTGTTGAGATGATGCAGGGAATCTGATTTATTTTTTTTAATAGTTAATTGGATCTGGAAAGAGCTTAAATGAATGAAGCACGTTTTGAAGGACCTTCTTTACATCCCTGTGCACCAGCTACAGCCATCAGTCAGCCATCTTGTTGGCTGTTTCATCACTAAGGGGGTCCCGGCTGGCTTTGACCAGAGCCCGGGCGTTTTCCATCGTGGCTCTGGATCTGGAAGAAGTGTGTGTGTGTGTGGGGGGCTCCTTGGAGATATTCAAGAGGTGCTGCAAGCCCCGCCTGTTTGCCAGGGCTTTTTTTGGGGGGGGGGTTTGACTTGGCAGCCATCTTTTACGGTGGGGAGGAGGGGAACGTTCGGGGGGTTATTTTATTCCTGGTTTGAACGGAAAATGTTTTTAACTATTCTTGTAAGCCACCTTGAACCTCGAGGAAAGGCAAGATAATATGTTTTAATAAATAAATAACTGTTTTAAAATTAAATAACCTGCATGCGGAAAAAGAATTAATAGTCACCTATTGTACAAATGAGTCTTGCTGATATTTAAAACTGTATAAATGTTGTGACTTATGGGTTTGTATTCCGAAACCAACACTCGATTCTCTTTTCTGACAGGTATCGTTTATTTTTCTTCCTTATCTCCATAGTCATATGCTTTGTTGTGACCAAGTCCTTGGTGGTGTCCTGCTGTTTACCCATCTTTCTAATGGGTATGAGGTACTACTTCAGTAGAAAAGTTATCATCAGCTATCTGGAATGTGCCCTGAATACGGACATGTCTGATATTGAGCAATATTACATGAAATCGCCAGGTGAGTAAGAAGTCCACGGAAGGGGGTTGATCAACCAGCCCCGCTTTGTGAAATAAGATATTGAAACGTCTTTTTTTTTTTAACGTACCATCGAGATCGAGGAGTCTTTAAATGCTAAGAATGCAGCTTGTATAGACCGCCCAGATACGGAGCAGAGCTTTAATCCTTAAACCCGAACTCCAAAAGAATGGGGACAGTCTTTCTTTCTCTCTTTTTTACTTACTTGGGTTCACAGGATAACATCAGAAGCTGGGAACCGTATGAGATGCCTTTTATTGTACTGTTATTAAGCATATCGTATTGAAATATTATTTATTGAACGATAATTCTGTTTGATGGGACTCTCTCTCCATTCCGACGGCTGATAAAAGTGGCACGTGATGCTTTAAAAAGAGGTGAAATGGGGAAAACTCTTGGAGCAAAAATGTATCAAGCCGCCCTTTTGGGTGTTTGTTGCCTTGTACGTATCCATATTCAAATAGGTTTCCCACATCTAGCTGTATAGAAGGCTCAGTAAGTCCAGGGAATACTCACCTGCTTACAAAAAACCAGTGCTTTCCAAGCTCCAGTGCTACAGTTGGGGCAGGTGTGTGCAATTTTATTTATTTATTTATTTATTCATCCATTCACATTTATATTTCGCCCTGCCCGCAAACAGTCTCTGGGCAGATCACAGTCAAAACTTAGGCCTTATGGCATCACATCAACATAATAATAACAATAACAACAACAACAACAACAATAATAATAATAATACATTGAAAACCATTAAAACAACGTTAGGACAATATACACCAGTTTTGTACAGTCTCCAGTACTGGTGTCACTGGATTCCAAGGCTGTATAATCCAGCCTGCAGAGGGTACGCAGCTCTCATTTGCCTAGCAGGCCATGTTTACGTCTTTTTCAATAACCACTGAATAAGAATTGCTGAGTACTTGATTTTTAAAGCCCGGAAGCTTTTGTAATGTGCAGTGTTCTTTAAAATCTGGTTTTGGAGTGTATACGAGTGTGGGTAGTGCTAATGATATTTGTCCGCTTTGTTTCTTGTAAGCATAACGAAGTCCCCAAATAACGAGGGGAGAGCCTTCTGTTTAAATGTAGCATTTTTGCATAAGGGAAGACACATGCAAAGAAGTGAGAAGAAAATAGAATCTGAAGTTGCAATTCTAAGTACGTGCTCCGGTGTGGGATTTCTCTGTTCTGAAAATGTGTACGGTATTGCATTGACATCATCTTAGTAACATTGCTCAAGTGAACCATTATTAGGTATTAACATTTGTAATCATTTAATTAATGACCGTCTAGGGTTGCCAGCCTCCAGGTGACCCCTGGAGATCACCTGGAATTGCAGCTGATCTCCAGGCAATGAAGATCAGTAACCCCCTGGAGCAAATGGCTGCTCTGGAAGGTGGTTTCATTTGGTGTTACACCCCACCGAGGTCGCTTCACAAAACCTGCTCTCCCTAGGCTCCACCCCCAAAATCTCCAGTAGTTTCCTGGCCCAGAGTTGGCAACCCTATGACCTACCCAGCAAAGCATGTTCGGTTTGTCGGGAAACTGGGAAAAGAAGCACGTACACTGTCACGTATGACTTCGGGGTATGAGAATTTTGTTTTGTCCTAGTACAGGCTGCTTCGCATTCTGGTTGAACATCAGCTGCAGTTAACGGGTGAAGGTGTAGGGGGGATTTGCTTCCGGGGAGGTTCAGGCCCCTAGCCACGGTGTGCAAAAAAGGGTGTGGTGCCCCATCAATCATTTGTCCTGCCCCTCCAATCAGCATTAGGGGTTGGTGTGAAATCTATCACAGTCTTTCAGGTGTAAATTTTCTATGTAAAAAAGGAAGGGATTGAGGTTAAGTGTGAATCCTGTCATAAATTTTCCAAGGGTGAATTCTGTATGCAGTTGGCTAGAACAGAATTAGCAGTTAGCAGGGCTGAAGAGTCCTGATTTTAAAAGCCTGTAAGGGGGGGGGGAGTGAAATCACACTGGAGTAAAGCAAAGATGAAGGGACAAAAAAGGTGTTGTAGCAGACTCTGAAGAAAGTAAAGAAAAAGACAGAGAGAACAGGACAGCGTTTCACAATAGTCCTGTAGAACTCTTATTGCCGGGGAAATTATTTTTTTGACAGAACAGGGGACAAATAATAAGGAATTTAGGTCCAGAGGTAAGTGAGCACAAGTCTTCTTTTTGCCAATGGGTGCGGTCAGATGGCGTGCTGGGAGCAGTTTAAATTGCTCCGGCCCTGATGCGGTTTTTTTTAACCTGGAGAATCGCGATCACACTCACCTCTTCGCTGCGGATCGCTGCGCAGCAACATTGCTCCCTGCCATCCACACGCGGGAGCGTGCATCAGTGTTGTTTCTCTCTCTCTCAGTTTGGGCATGCGCACAGGCAGCCATCTGTAGAACTAAAATTTTTGCGCATGCGCAGAACAGCGATTTCCACTTCAACCCGACTGCTGTAACACTTCCCTTTAAACTTTAAAGGAACACTTCCCTTTAAACATTCACCCCGAAAATGGCCTCCGTGAGATCCCAAACTCATATAACGGCTAAAACTAGGCACCGTTTAAACATTGTTTTTAATAACGCGGTGGCGGAGCTCCGCCTATGCGCACACCGCCAAAGCTTTAAAAAAAAATAGTGGGCAAAAAGCGGACGCCTCAGGCAGCTTTCGAGCAGAGAGGGGGTTTAAACCAGAAGTGGCTCGAGACCGCAGGAGCGATCAGACGTCAGAAAAGTGCAGTTGGAACCAGAGAATCAGGAAAACACCACTTGGGGACCTGGTATCAAAATACTCCGGGTTAAAGCGGTTTTGAGCCGGAAAGCGACGGCTGGGGACGGGAGGCAGATGTTGACTGTGTGATCACGCAGATAAAATCCGTTTCTGAGGCGGGCCAAAAGCGGACTAAACGGCCTGTCTGAATGTACCTAATATGTGCTAACCCACAGGAATCTCATTCACAGGGCACCGTTAGAAGTCTTGAGTCCGTGATCTACAGAGAAAAGAAGGTTGAATTTACAGTTTCAGGTCTCAGTAACTGGAAGAAGGCTCTCATGCATCTTTAATCCTGCAAACTATGTAAAACAGTTGCTTGGGACTTGGGAGGCCATTTTTATAAAGCTCATACAGAACAGGGCTGTAGACTGTGCCACAGGGGACATGCAGATCTGCCCTCGCAGAGGAGGGAGAGCTTGTACCTGAATAAAACTTGGTCTTAAAGGTGCCACTGGACTGTTTTGGACCGGGGGACCGGGGGGGGGAGGGCTCTGCAACTTACGTGGCTGCTTCTTGCTCTGACTGAGGGCTGCTGGAAACAGGGGGTGGGGCTTGATGCATGTGCCCGCCCCCTGGGCTCTTTACTGCTGGAGCTCCGCTCCTGTGCGCTCCTGCGGGAAATGACCCCTGGTCTCAAGTAGAAAATTGGTAAATAACTAATAAAGTATAAATAAATAAAGAATAAAGTTAATGAATGATGATGGGCTGGTCACCACTGTACTCATTCACACTCCCCCACATAAAAATTTTCTGGCTACGGACCTGGAGGGGTTATGCATTCCAGAGACTGACTCCACTATTAGTAGGGGGAAGGGTCATGCTGAGGATATGGTCCATCCTCAATACCCCATAGTCAAGAAGATACTCCGTCACGGTCCAGCTCAGTTTGGTGTAGTGGTCATGAGCGTGTATGCTAATCTGGGAGAACCGTGTTTGATTCCCCACTCCTCCACATGCACCTGCTGGTGTGACCTAGGGTCAGTCATAAGTTCCTTCAGAGCTGTTCTCTCAAGGGCAGTTCTCAAGTGAGCTCTCTCAGCCCCACCTACCTCACAGAGTGTCTGTTGTGGGAAGGGGAAGGGAAAGGGATTGTAAACTGTTCTGAGACTCCTTCAGGTAGTGAAGGGTGGGGTATAAATCCAATCTCCTCCTCCTCCTCCTCCTCTCAGTATGGGGAGGAGGGATGCGTAGACCATAAAATCCCACAGTATGTTGGGATGAAATCTGTTGAAGCATGACAGAGAATACAAATCAATAAGAAATAGGGGATACCCTGGAATGGTTGTAATAGTCAACCAGTTTGGTGTAGTGGTTAAGTGCGCGGACTCTAATCTGGGAGAACCGGGTTTGATTCCCTCCACTTGCACCTGGCTGGATGACCTTGGGCAAGCCATAGTTCTGTCAGAGCTGTCCTTGAAAAAGAGCAGTTCCTGTCAAGAGCTCTCTCAGCCCCACTTACCTCACAGGGTGTCTGTTGTGGGGAGGGGAAGGGAAAGGAGTTTGTAAGCCGCTCTGAGACACCTTTGGGTAATGAAGGGTGGGGTAAAAATCCAATCTCTTCTTCTTCTCTTCAATTAGTCTCTCCAATCTCAGAGTGGATTAAGGATATCACCTTTGTAAGTGGGCATGAGAATGTCATCATGACTGAATGTCTGGATCATCCTAAAATCCTCTCTCTCTCCTCCCCACACATGCAGACACAACTTTCCCCCCCTGTTTGTCCACATGTGTGTCGATTGAGTGATACATATACAACCACTGATTAATAACCCAGTACTAAGAAAAACTGATGGCTTTTATTTGAATAATGCATGGTTTCCCTCTTGCAGTTTTAATATTAATGTTAAGGTTCTGTTCTGGAGACTGTGGGGGGCAGCATTTGATAAGGGGGCAGCATTTGATAAGGAACTCTTACCAGATGCCCTGGGATACATCTGAACTTCCGGGTGGGGGGGTGTCTGCCACCACTTCCCATTGGGATGGAATTGCACGCGTGAGCTGGCTTTCCATTACATTGTGAAAAGGTGATGTTTCTGGATGAGCTGGGTGCAGGGGAGCTACTGAATACATAAACGTTCTAACGGAACTCAACGAGCAATAAAGGGTCCGTTACTTTTCTGCAACTCAAAAGGTTGTTTCAGCTTTAGTTGTCCAAATTGTTGTTGTCAAAACCTGGGAAGGTATTAGTACTGCTCTACTGATGGTGATGACAGGGATTA